TGTCAGCATGTGAATTAGTGTGTGACACTAGTCTCTTATTCTGCGTGGTCTTTGTAGACGAACTGGTAGCTGCATTCTTCAACTTCCTGGAATTAAGACTACTTGAATTGGTGAATACTGGGTGTGATGTACTGCAGTTTGTCACTGGGGTACAGGGATTGTTATCAGAGGAATCTAAATCTACGGTCGATTTCTTTCTTAGTGTTCGGCTATACACTGGACTATTTTTTGACCTTATATTTTCAGGCAAGTTCGTTTCCGAATACGGTGTGCTTTGTATAGAAAGATCCACACCCTTTTGCTCTGCCTCAACAGAAGTGTGGGTGCCCAGGGGTGTTGTAGAGGAGCTGGGATTTACAGTTTTAGAATAAGTCATTCTTTGGATCGGTGTCTTGTCACGAGCTAATTTAATCGTATGGTAACGTGTATTTTTCAGTAGTGTTTGCCTACTGTAAAAGATGTCAGCATTAGAGGACGAGTCAAATTTCAACACAAGTGGGCAAGATTTATTTTTATGAGACTTTCTAAGTCGATGGCAGCTGCACGAGACGTTATTCATAGAGCACGCATTCAGAATAGTGCTTTTGACCTTGTTAATCTGTGCATTATCCGGTATATTATACACGATTATGTTCTTCTCGCGCACTACACGTTGATATACTTCAGTTGCAACGTAGTTTATCAGGTTTGCGGTTTGTGGTAACTTACTAGGTGAAGTACCATTACTGTCGGTTTCACTAGGTACTGCCAGTTTTGATATCTTAACTTCAAGCCCCCTAATAATGGAAAATAATTCTGCGATTTTATCTTCACAACAAGGTGTAGAACAAGAAACTGGATTAATGCTAGGAGTCAAAATGTTTGCCGTGTAATTCATTTCGCAAGACGTTTTGCAGGTGTCTGCGAGGCCTGGATCATTGCTTGTAGTATCACTATGTATACCATCCATGATGTTGTTTAATACGCAAGCAGGTAAGGGGAATTCAACGTCCGGACTTAACGTATCTACTGCAGCAGACATGTGTTTATTTGTTAAATCACTGGATGTAGTCTTCACACTTCCTGCAGGCCTATTCATTCTATTCGGTTTGTGGTTTTTACTGGGATTTGAAGCAGACAGTGGAGTTTGACGCTTAGTTTCAACCATTGGCATTTAGAAAAGAGTTAAACTTCTTAAATATAAGAGAATGAGCAAAGTGTCTGTAAGGTCCTTTTTAGGGTGTTGGAGATTTAGATTGTTTAGTTCGGTACGCAATTAGCAGTTTATGTGGATAAAAATACTGGAATATAGTATGAAGACACGCTTAACAAATACTATAAATGCAAAGATGCGATAACAGAAGCACTTAAGTAGACACTAGCTATAATGGACAATTACAGCCGGAAAAGTTATCTTTAATGAAAAAATAGGACTAAATATTCAGTACTATCCTCGAGAGACCTATTGAAAAGCCGCCTATGGAGTAAAAAAGAACTAAGAAATAACACGCGAAAAAGTAACAAATCCTTCGAATTGCCGCGGTGAATGTTGGTTATTTGTACCCTATTGCTTAGAAAGGATTTTAACCAGCTCAGTAATGGATTGCGAATACCACATGAATACAGCTTCTCAAAGGGAATACTGTGAGATACCATGTCAAATGCTCTAGATATGTCGAAGTAGAGAACAACAACTAGCTTACGTGCTTCGCGACTACTAGTGATGCAGTTGAAAAAGTCGAAGTGGCAAGTAACGCAAGACCTATTTTTGAGAAATCCGTGTTGAGACCTTGTAACAAGATCTTCCTTAAGTAGATAGTCTGACAACTGATCTTTGACAACTTTCTCCATGACTCGCGAGACAACTGGGGTTATATTTATAGGTCTGTAATTGCGGACGTTTGCCTTATCACCGGATTTATAGTGTGGAATTATGAAGCTAGTTTTCCACTCATTAGGGTAAGTGCCAGTGTCCATAGATATCGAGAAGAATTTAAGAAGTAGTAGGGGTATATCACACCCACTGTTTTTGAAAATTATGGAAGCAAGGCCATCTGGTCCCGTGCTAGTGGAAGGTTTCAGGCTTTTAACTGCTTGTTCTATTAATTGGTCGGTGAACACTATGCTTCCGAGGAAAGAGCTAGTAAGGGGGCCGGTGTCACCAGGAATGCGCGTTTCTAAACTGAAGTTTGCAAACCACTCACTGAATATTTCACAGATGGTGGCAGGCACATTGTAGATAACTTTGTCATGAAGTAAATAGGGGATGTCCCTAGTCGACTGCATTCGTTTTTTAAGAAGTGTTGTTAAGTTATAAACTTTGGAGGTGCTTTCAAGTGCCCTTAATTCTTCGTCGAGGTCCTTTTGAGAGCGTTGGCGCTTGACAGATTCAAGAGACTCATGGATTGAGTGCAGTAGTGATATATCCTTAGTTGAATAGTACTGTTTCTTCAACTTCCTTAACTTATTGCGGCATGCCCTCGGAATGTAATCAGCTTGGTGTCTACTTAATTTCACTACCTTCTTAGGAGCAACAGTATCTAGACAAAGGATAACATTCCTGTAAAATAGGGACACTACAGTCTCCAGGGAGTCAGTGGTAAAATATTCATCCCAGTGACAGAGTCGAATGAGTTCTTGGACTAATCCCCAGTCTGTATGTTTGTAACTACGACAAATCAAGCTCCCTGAATCCTGTTTGTTTCCTGTATTTAGTGGTGAAAAAGGCAGAGAGCAGAGCACCATTCTATGGTCACTACTGGAAAATCTGTTACCAACATAGGTGGAGACTGGGATTGTGTCATGACAAAACACAAGGTCCAACATGTTGTCACCACGAGTGGGTGTCTGGACGTGTTGCTGCCATCCATAACAATCGATAGTGGCAAGTAATTCGTCGAAGCGTTGGGGGCCGGAACTACTTAACCAATTGACTTCTGGAAGATTGAAGTCCCCTGCAATTATTTTGTAATTAGTACTAAACGATGAGGCGTGTGCGAATGATTTAGCTAATAACGCATCAGTTTCTTTGGTTGAGCTTGGTGCTCGATAAACACAGCCTATGAGAAGCTTGTACTTATCTCCTTGTAAGACGACCCAGAGTGAATCAGGTACATCGTTCAGTATTTCATCTTCCACCTTACTGGCTACGAATGAGTTATGTATATATATGAGACATCCTCCACCACGCTTGCAGTCTCTATTTGCACGGTGTACAGTGTAATCATCCATGCCTATATGCACATCAAGTACAGAATATGAGCACCATGATTCAGTAATCAAAGCTACAGTAGGCTTGGCGATAAATAATAATGCCCTTAGTTCAGATATCTTATTGATTAAGGAACGCGCATTAATTAGCAATATCGTGAATAAGTCACGGGATACTACAAACTGGCTTAAGATATCACCATAACCTAACTCTGTTTGTGCGTCAACAACGCAAGAGTTTATGAATGATACGGGGGTCGGACTGGGTGTCTGTACATCGGGGTTAGAGTGCAGTGAGGTGGTCCTAGGTGCCATGGGTCGTACCAGTGATTCGGGACACGTGGAAAATTTACCATTTGTTCCTGGATATAAGGATAGTAGATGTTGGGCCTGGGTTGACGGTTAAAAAGCATAGCATCAAATGGTCTACCCATCCACGTGCTATCCATCATACCGGTACACACCTTCGTGTTGGTTTTATAACTTAAAGGAAATTGAAAGGGAAGGTGCTTTGGTTGTAAGACTTTGGAGGTTTTGGGGCCTGACTTTCTATAAGGTGGAGCATACTGAAAACCACCAGATATACTTGTGTTTCGAGAGGAACTTTTCGTAAGAGGTGACGGTTTTTTGACAGTCTTACTCTCAGCAAGCTTATTGAATACAAAGTATTCTTCCCCATCATTAGTCTCAACCCGGCGAAATTTGTTCATTGTGGTGAGGTCACCACGTTTGGGTAAGAATTTCTTGGAACGGCTTGCAACAGTTCTACCTATTTTAACATCTTTTGGTGAGACGTTATTTACAGGGGTACTGGTATCTAAATCAGTCCCTAGTTCCATTGCCATGCGTGGTTGTTGTGTGGTCTGCTGAATGCTAATGTCAGCATTAGGTGACTGTTGCTGTGCACGATCGTTTTTGGGTAATTCTAAGCTAGAGGAGGTGACCAGGTTATTACTCCGCATCATTCTGCGCTGACACGGTGTTTTATCTTGAGCTATGGTTATAGACTTATAACTACTGTTCAGTCTTAGGTGATCCTGGCATTTAATAAACTTACTAGAATCAAGGGAATTACTGAACTTAAAAATAATGGGACAGTTAGCCTGGTTAGACTTTTTACGAAGTCTTTTGCATTCACATGGAACACTGGCCATGCCGCAACAAATCAGGATTTTGTGTTTAACAGTCTTCAGAGGAAGAGAATCTGGGACATTGTAAACTATAGCCTGGTGAGAAGAGGTTATACGCTTCATCACCTCCGCAGCCAAGCAGTCAATCATATTTTCAGCCTTATTTAGGGTGTCTGGAGACATTTTAGGATGCTTTCTTAACAGACAGGCTATTGGGTCTAAATCCGAAAGCTTGCTTTGAGTTACATCCAGCAAAGACTTAACCTGGCCAATATCAGAACTGCTCTCCGTGATATTTGACAATGGCAGTGACATTCTATCAAACTGACCTAATTTTTTCTGAAGTTCGTTTACTTGCCTTTGGATATCTTTCACAAGGAGGTCTAATTTACAGATCTCAGAGTTCTCTAAAAGAACATCTTTCATCTGTATCACAGGAGTGAGAATTGCACTCAAGCCATTTTGTGAGCTAGTAGTTAATGCTGTATTACAGGGTGGTAATGCAGTTATAACCGAGGTTGAGGCACTATCTAAAACAACTGTGTTTCTACGAACACGTTTTTTAGAAATTTGGACCATAATTACAGGGATTATATGACTATAAGCAGTAAATAAATATCAGAGCAAACACGTGCAAAAATGTCACCAATTTCTTATGAATAGGAATCGATTGGTACCTGTCTCGTCCCTGTAGGACTTACGGTTGCGGGATATGGATTTTTAAAGTTTTGCAGGTTTTCCCCATTTTGCCTTTGTATAGCAATATACAGGGTATTTTTAGCCAATGAGAATTAAGCTTTTGTTTATTAGGCGTAGATAGGCATTTTGTTTTAATTGACGATGCGCGCGAAGGCGCAGCTGAAATTGTGGCATGGCGTGGGACGGATGGCTGGTTTTCTACGGCCAGCCCCTGTCACTTGGAGGCCTATGATGGCTTCCAATCCTCATCAATGGAATTATTTGGTAAGTTTATTTTATTTTTATATTAGTTTTATTAGTAGTTTTCATGTTTAGGCTAGGTTTTAGCTTCATGTTTACTATGCTGGGGCATTTGGGGACCATACGGTCATAGTTCGTTTAGGGATGCTCTGGCATAGGAAAGCTATATATCAATCGATAGCTCTCGACGAGATCTATCCTTTGACATTGGTTTCGACCCTTGTAGCCTCTCCTCAGCCTTCCTCAGGCTCTTTGATATCTGGGCTTGCGCCCTCTGGGGTTATGCTGCCAAAATTTTTCCAGGGAGGCTAGGACTTAGGTGAAGTTATATATCAATCGATGGCTCTCACAGCGACCTATCCTTTGTCATTGGTTTCGAACTTTATAACTTCTCCTCATCCGAATAGGGTGGGCTAGTGCCCTTAGGGACTATGCTGCCTAAATTTTCTTAGGGAGGCTAGGACTTAGGGAAGCTGTATATCAATGGATAGCTCTCGACGAGATCTACCCATTGATACCGGTATCGCACCTTATAGCTTCTCCTCAGCCGAATGGGGAATTTTTTCCAAAGGCTACAGGGGAAACCTGTTTCTAGGCCTAGAGTTCATGCCGCTGGCTGTTCTCTTGACATTTTTAGCTCCGCGACCTCAGGTTGAATGCCGTTGTGTATGTAGCTAGGGGGCATTACCAACCATAGGGCAGCAGTGGGGCAGAGACTGCTAGGCAGGAAAATCCTCGTATTTTTCTTAAGAATTGCTTTTATTCTCTGACTTATATACCGTTGGATTCCTCTCGACGAAACGAATCGATTGGTACCTGTCTCGTCCATGTAGGACTTACGGTTGCAGAGCTATGGCTACTTTAAGTTCAACAGTTATCCTCATATTTTAGCGTTTCTTAGCTGCTGCTGCTGCTGGATTCAATATAGAACTTGGCACCGAAGTGCAGCAGTTCGAGTTGCCACGTTCCAAAGAGCACACAAAGGTAGACAGGAAAATGAGTGAAGAGAATCAATAGAGTTTTGACAAGTATAAGAGTGAAACAGAATGAGTAATGGTAGAAAGGAATATGAAGGATTAAAGAGACTGAATACATCTGCGCCATTGACAACGATTTTGAGCCATGTCACCTATTGTCTCCAGCCATTGATTCTTAGAGTCTCGAGGGCCCCAACCCGGAAGTCTGCATCTCCCTACCTGACTCAGTTTAACTGTCAGGGATTTCATGGATTGATGAGGCCATGTTTTTGTTTGGCCACCACTTACTCTTTTCCAACCTGCACCTATATCAGCTAGTAATGCCCGTCGCGGGGGAGACGATGGTTAGGCATACGCAGCACGTGACCTAACCATCTCAATCTATGTAACTTTATAGCCTCTTCGAGTGATTTTCCCTCTCTGCCCAACACTCTACGCCTAACGTCAACATTACTTACCTTATTATACCACCTAACGCGAGAAAGAGATCGTAAACAACTGTGGTCAAAAACAGACAATCTCTTCATGTCTTCCGCTCTCAATGGCCACGTCTCACCGCCATAGCGTTTCTTAGGGTGAACATGCTCTAATAAAATATGGTTCGTTGTGAACACAATGAAAAGGAAGAGTAGTCTGAAAGCAAATAGTATAATAAGTGACAACCGCTGAAACAGGGAAGGAACAAAATAACACTGCAGCATATTAACATACTTTCGTGCATTTCATAGCATTTGGATGGCTACATAAGCAAAACGTTTTTGACATTGAGTTGAACTAGTCATATATATTCATGGAAAATTCACATAGGGACATATGAAAGATCAAAACAAAAGACTGAGCGAAGAGACCATTTTCAACGAATTTATTAACAAGCTGTACAGTCGTATATACATAGTTTTTAAGAAATTATATCCGGTGAGGGGATTAAATCTTAGGGGTGAATACATAAAATAATAATGGTGTGAAATGCAATTGAAATGCTTGTGATTATAATCACAGTTCAATGTTAAGTGGACGAGCAGTTAATATCATACATAGAATAATTCATAGGATGCATAGAACTTGGAAGGCGTGTGAAATTATAGGATTAGTAGGCAGGTAAAATAAAAATAAAAACGTTACGTAACATTGTGTGAAATTTGATGACATAGTATTTAACGTTACAAAGCAAAATTGACTTAGGATTACAAGTGGAACAAGTGAAATAATACCGAGGACAAATCGAAGTGAGAATAGTAGTAGTAACAATCGACGTAATAAAGGAAAAGTATACAAATTGAATAAACAAAACAAAAAATAGGTAGAGCCAGAATATGATTATGGATTACTACACTTTAGCATAGAGTGATTAAGATCATGAAAGTCGGACGGGTTGAACGAGCTTTTTCTACATGCAGAGATCTGGCTTTTCTGTTTTGATGGCCGAAGCTTCAGCAATACAGATGAGTCGGATACGTAGTAATTTTGGCTAATTACTGTTCGCCTTTTAGATGACTTTAAAGGCGGAGACTGCAGAGATAGGGTGGTCATTATCGACCAGATGTTCAATGATCGAGCTTCTTATTGCTCCACTTCCACCTCTTCGTAACTATGCAGGAAAGTGTTCTTGGACAAAACTCGACTCGGGCAACTGATATACCCAACTCCACACGAGCAGGTGAAATGATAAACGCACATAGAGTTGGTCAACTGTGGGATCTTGTCCTTCCGGTTGTTGAACAGTAATGGTCCACTGGAAAACGCTATTCTCAACTATGCAGCAGGCAATGTCCTTTTCAGGGACTGTGAGATCCTTCTTTTAGTGATATCGGAAGCTAAGTCACCTTCGAATTCCAAGCTCATGTACAGTATGTTCTTGGTTACGGATGCTAAGTCACATTTCATAGGTTTTGATTGTATATTCTTGTCTATAAAACGTGGCGGAAATCCATTTTCTATCAGGATTTTTCTTAAAAGATTTAACTCTTCCTCCACAGTATCAGGGCTACATATACGCCGAATACGAGTGGCAAGCGACCAGATCAGGTTTCGCTTTAGACCAATGGGTACTCAGCTGTAGAAATTTGTCAGTTGACCATTCCGTGACAGCTTCCTATAAACCGATCTCCTCAGGGTTACATCAGTCCTCCTTGATAAGTTTACATCGAGGAAATGAACACCAGACTCGTTCTCCATTTTGAGTGTAAATTTTGTCGCTGGATGGCAACCATTAAGTGCATTTAATATATATATATATTATTCAAATGAAAATCACTTACAAAATAATAAAGGTGTCATCTATATAGCTTTTATACATTTGAAAACTTTGAAGTTTTGACTTCAACTGGCCATAAAACAGTCTGCAGTGAGAGGACCCAAGGGAGAGCCTATTGCAATACCGCTCTTCTGTCTATAGATTGTTTCATTGAAAGTAAACTGTACATCTCAAAAGTAGTTCTTTCAAATCTGTAGTGGATAGTCCTGTATTCAACTTCTGACTTCAACATATTTGCATATAAAGCATATGGTTTCTGTCAGTGGACCGCTCGTAAATAGGGATTCTACATCCGAAAGCAACATATGTTTATTCGAAGCATTTGTATCCTGTATACGTTCGACAAATTACGTGTCACAAAGGGAATGAATAGATAGTTGTTTCCTGACGGGTTCGAAGACTTCAGCTAACCACCTAGCTATTGAATGGAGAGGGGGTCCGGACATATCTAAGATAGGGCGGAGTGGTAGGCCAGCCTCGGAAACCACCGATAGATTTTATGCTATTAGATAGTTTAGAATTAATATACAGTGTTTGTTTGTTGGTGACTGCGTTGGCATACTCATTAAACGTCTGACGTTCATTAATTGATAAGTCACATGTTTTCGAAACTGATGGAGTCTGTGTCAGTAATACCATAAGTTTATTACATGGCAAACTGACTTATCAAATTGGAACAGATTTCTCGCAGTTAATTTTCCCAGTCGTTGGTGAACATGCTCAGCGTTTTTATGGACCAGTATAGGCAACCTTATGTATCACTTATTGACAGTGTACAACGTTACAGGATATTCTGTCAGCGCATCTTCTACCTACTAGCGATATCTTGAAAAGTGATGTTTAAAACGCGTTAAGCGCAAAGGGTGACTACATTGTTGAATGGGATATTGAGACAGTTTATCTAGGTTTCTACTTGATAATTCTTTATATGTCAACTAATTTTCAACCGTATTATTGCCTAATATTGAGCGTTATCTTAAACAATTTCAGGTGCCCCCAGCAATAGCTCGTTTATTGCTGCACAATAATAAGTGGGATGTAGAGACAGTCAAGAAAAAGTTTCTGGCTCATCCTTTGGTTACACTTATCAATCATGATATTTTACCAGGACTAAATACCCAATCCAAATACAATTCAAAAACTTAATTCGCGCGTCACTCCTTTTTTGTCGCGACCTAAAATCACATCAGGTTAGCTGTGAAACTCATTTATTGTTATCCTATTTGTTCTTATTTTGATAATTATGTTTGTGGATAATCAGCAGTTATTGTAGTGTTTATTATGCTTAATTTAGGTGTATATGTAAGCGTATATTGATTCGGAATCGTGTCTTTGAGGTTCTCCTAAATAGAATTCTTAAGAATCTGCATTCACTTTGCTCAGATTGCCAACATTGTACGTCATTTTTCAATTTAGTATATTTCAATATGACATTTTCCGGCTGGTTTCTCTGTGATGTTGCTGCTTATGCTGAGTAAATTGCCTCAGGAATAAATTAAGAAAGTTGGGCTGGTTGGTAAAGTTGTTAATCTTGGTCTGCTGCGACAACTACTATGTGCGGTGCATCCGTTGACTACCTTCCTTTTGTCTGTACTAGAATTAGGTCACTGGGAGTTAAAGATTTTTAGACCTTTATGTGACTGGATTTCTCAAAGTTCCACTTTCGGTTTGAAGCCTGAGAAAACTGCTCGATTTCTAATTAGTATCCTCGAGATGTAAAGTATCAACAATAAAAAAACTCTGACGCATGACACCCTATCAATCAAAGTAACTCAGACGTGTTTATAGAATTTATGATAAGTAAACCCTAATGAATGAACATCAAGTAGTTGCCATATGTATTATGTTATAATGCCAGAACTGAGGAGAAGGTGAATATGTACAACTCATTTTAACATGAGTCAGTTTGCTTGAAAAACAAACCCCTTATTTTCCATAATTTAATAACACAACTTCTACCATTCAGAACACAATATGTAGCGAAGAGACTTTTCAACAAATTTATTTACAGACTGCACAATCCTATACATATATATAGTTTTAGGAAATTATATCCGATGAGGGAATTAGATTAAAAGTGTGAACACATGAAATAATAATATAGTATGAAATGCGATTAAAATATTTGTGATTATAATCATAGTTAAATGTCAAGTAGCAAAACAATTAATGTCATATATAGGATGACATATAAGGTGCGTAGATGTTGGAAAGGAGTGCATAATTACAGGATTAGTAGGCGAATATAAAATGTTACATAATGTGGTGTGAAATTTCATACGATAGAATTCAATATTGTAAAAACAAAAAGATAAATAATAATAATTTTGGATTTAAAATGACAAATGGAACAAGCGGAAACAATTCAGAGTGAGAATAGTGAGAATGATAATAATAATCGTAGTAATAAGGGAAAGGTACATAGAATAACTAAATAAACAAAATACAAATAAATAAATATCTATCCCTCTACGGGACTATGCTGCCTAAATTTTCTTAGGGAGGCTAGGACTTAGGGAAGCTGTATATCAATGGATAGCTCTCGACGAGATCTACCCATTGATACCGGTATCGCACCTTATAGCTTCTCCTCAGCCGAATGGGGAATTTTTTCCAAAGGCTACAGGGGAAACCTGTTTCTAGGCCTAGAGTTCATGCCGCTGGCTGTTCTCTTGATATTTTTACCTCCGCGACCTCAGGTTGAATGCCGTTGTGTATGAAGCTAGGGGGCATTACCAACCATAGGGCAGCAGGGGGCAGAGACTGCTAGGCAGGAAAATCCTCGTATTTTTCTTAGGAATAGGAATCGATTGGTACCTGTCTCGTCCCTGTAGGACTTACGGTTGCGGGATATGGACTTTTAAAGTTTTGCAGGTTTTCCCCATTTTGCCTTTGTATAGCAATATACAGGGTATTTTTAGCCAATGAGAATTATCGTCCCCATCTTTAAAAAGGGTCGACGTAATTCGTGTGACAATCATAGGGGTATCAGTCTGCTACCAGTCGCGTCTAAATTATTGGCTGCTGTCTTGCTTCACAGGCTGTGCAAAATACGTGAAGGATTGATTCGCGAAGAGCAGGCTGCGTTGCGTTCAGGTCGTGGATGCATTGATCATGTGTTCACCCTTCATCGAGCGTGTCGAGCACGAATTACTTTCGGATTGTAACCATTCTTCCGGAGCCAGGCTAGACGTCTTCGTCTCCACCGATTACATGCTTCACGTTGAACATCTATAGGAATTCTGTGCACAGATTCTGCATAAATAGTTGATAAATCTAAACTCTGGGAAATTCAATATGCTCGACGTCGGAAAATTCCTCCATCAATTGGCACCGGCATCGGCATGCACATCCTTCGGCATTCCCACCATCCAAGGATAGCAACAATCCAGTGAACATTCTCATTAATTGGAATGATGATAAAATCTTTACTGAAAATGTCATCTCGACGTGTCCAGCGAGCGACACCAGCGTGTTGTCAGTTGTTGGAACACCGCCACACGTATTGCAGGCCAACGATCGTTGTGTTTCTTGATATTAGGGCTGCCTTCGATTCGTTGGACAGAACTGTGCTCTGGAACTGTCTGTTAGAGAGAGGTGTACCTGAGAAATTTGTTAACATCTTGAAAGCCCTATAGAGAAACACCTCATGTAGAGTGAGGGCATACAACCAACTATCATCACTGTTCCTAACCAACAGTGGGGTTAGACAGGGTTGCCCAATCTCTCCATTTCTCTTTAACTTTGCCATCGATGACATTCTGGAGTCAGCTCTGAAGGATGTGCGTGAAGGTGGTGTAGATCTGCTACCTGGAGATAGACTTTTCGACCTCGAGTATGCAGACGATATCGTCTTACTGTGCGATAGCATGCATGCTGCCCAAATCGCACTTAATCAGTTGGCGATCAGTGTCTGTAAGTATGGTATGTGCTTTGCACCGACCGTCTAAGTGCAAAGTACTGTTACAAGATTGGCAGGAGCCTGACCTGCACTCACTCTTGCGGGTGAACCGCTTGAAGTTGTTGATAAGTTTGTGTACCTGGGTAGTTGTGTGAGTGCTGGCGGAGGGGTACTTAAACTTGTCAACAACTTCAAGCGGTTCACCCGCAAGAGTGGGTGCAGGTCAGGCTCCTGCCAATCTTGTAACAGTACTTTGCACTTAGACGGTCGGTGCAAAGCACATACCATACTTACAGACACTGATCGCCAACTGATTAAGTGCGATTTGGGCAGCATGCATGCTATCGCACAGTAAGACGATATCGTCTGCATACTCGAGGTCGAAAAGTCTATCTCCAGGTAGCAGATCTACACCACCTTCACGCACATCCTTCAGAGCTGACTCCAGAATGTCATCGATGGCAAAGTTAAAGAGAAATGGAGAGATTGGGCAACCCTGTCTAACCCCACTGTTGGTTAGGAACAGTGATGATAGTTGGTTGTATGCCCTCACTCTACATGAGGTGTTTCTCTATAGGGCTTTCAAGATGTTAACAAATTTCTCAGGTACACCTCTCTCTAACAGACAGTTCCAGAGCACAGTTCTGTCCAACGAATCGAAGGCAGCCCTAATATCAAGAAACACAACGATCGTTGGCCTGCAATACGTGTGGCGGTGTTCCAACAACTGACAACACGCTGGTGTCGCTCGCTGGACACGTCGAGATGACATTTTCAGTAAAGATTTTATCATCATTCCAATTAATGAGAATGTTCACTGGATTGTTGCTATCCTTGGATGGTGGGAATGCCGAAGGATGTGCATGCCGATGCCGGTGCCAATTGATGGAGGAATTTTCCGACGTCGAGCATATTGAATTTCCCAGAGTTTAGATTTATCAACTATTTATGCAGAATCTGTGCACAGAATTCCTATAGATGTTCAACGTGAAGCATGTAATCGGTGGAGACGAAGACGTCTAGCCTGGCTCCGGAAGAATGGTTACAATCCGAAAGTAATTCGTGCTCGACACGCTCGATGAAGGGTGAACACATGATCAATGCATCCACGACCTGAACGCAACGCAGCCTGCTCTTCGCGAATCAATCCTTCACGTATTTTGCACAGCCTGTGAAGCAAGACAGCAGCCAATAATTTAGACGCGACTGGTAGCAGACTGATACCCCTATGATTGTCACACGAATTACGTCGACCCTTTTTAAAGATGGGGACGATAATGGCTTCGTTCCACATTGATGGTACACTCTCAGTTTCCCATACCTTCCTGAACAACCCAGTTAGAGCCATTGTGAGAGTCTCGCCACCATCTTTAAAAAGAGCCGGGGGTAAATTGTCTGGGCCGGGCGCCTTATGGCGTTTTAACACTTGGAGTTCCTTACGGCCCTCCGCTTCGGTGGGTGGGTCGGTATTAACCGACCAAGGAGCACTGGGGCTAATGACAGCAGACATTGAAGCTGGTGGCCAGCTAAACTGTTTCCCGAAGTGCTCTGCCCAGCGTTCCAGGCGTCTTTTCAAACTGGTAATTGGCGTGCCATCTGCCTCACAGACCGTCTCGCTGACACCTTATTTCTTGCTGCCGGTGGCTCGGATGAGTTGGAACAGCTTCCGACTGTTGCCAGATGCAGCAGCTGACTCCATCTCACCCACACGTTCTGACCACCAAGCCCCGTCCGGCCGCCTCCATGTGCATCTATCAGTTCACCTGCTTTTGTGGAGCAAGCTACATTGGCTTTAGCGAGAGGACGCTTTCCATACGGATACGAGAACATATTCCAGCATGGCTTTACGAGGGAGAATGGAAGTGTGTGCGAAGCTCTATTTAGAACACCTGATCGACTCCTGTCACTCTGCCAACCCTGACCATGATTTTAAAATCATCTACTGAATCCATGACAACTTGCCATGTTTTCTTCGTCATAGACTTCTATAGACAGTGGAGGCCTTGGCAATTCATGACTTTAAACCAGACCTTTGTGTACAAAAGAAGTATGTACAATCCCTACTTCTGCCTTGGCCGTAGAGGGATAGACATTTATTTATTTGTATTTTGTTTATTTAGTTATTCTATGTACCTTT